ACCTTAAAGAACATAAAAGGGGAATTAAACTCCAAAAGGATTACTACAGATTTTGAGTGAGATGTATCCACTTCTCAACAAATTAAATTACATGGACTGGCCTGTCACGCATACAAAGTATCTTACGCTTACAGTGTATACTTACAGTGGAACTTGGAGTGGCCTCTTAAATAACAAGGGAAAACCAAAACAAGTCTTGACATTAGAATCTTACCAAATTTAAGGACTTACTTTTTATGTTATATATAAAATGTATTGTGTTTTTTTCCCATCTGAGCATATATTTAAATATAAAAAAAATGGCAGAAATATAATGAAAGGAGTTTTCCAGCAGAAGGAAATCCATACAGGAATGATGCCATGGAGCCAAATGGAAGGTACAACTGGTGACTGGAAAACCCCTACCACTGTCCCAGGACTCCAGCTTGGGCTGAGGGGAGTCCTCCATTCAGTGGCCATAAATGCCCAGAGATGGACCCCAGCATCTATTGAGTCTCATTAACTGCTACATGTTTCTGCTGGCTGTAGAAATTTACCCTTCTATATGGGTAGGTTATGGTTATGGTTAGGCTCAGGGGTAATGGTGATACTGCAATAAAATACCCTTCCTTCACGAAAACACAAATTATTGTTAACCTCAGAAAATAAAAATAGGATAAAAATGTATGTATGACATAAATATTTAATTTCGGTGCCTGCCCTATATTCTTGTATAATAAACAATCCTGAAATAAGTCCATAGATCTGGCTGTTCTGTGAAGTACAGGTTTTCTCTCTACACTGCACTGGATCCAACTATTCATTGTACAGGAGAGAAGAAATATGACAAAAGGCATCAACAGAACGACCTTGAAATTCTTAATCTGTTTTTCCTTTCTCAGTACAAAACTTCTTTAAAGACCGGAAAAATGCTACTAAAATATGAAGTGAACCATAAAGCTATGCAGTGTTGCTTGATCTTGTTTTGATTCAGATCCACACAAAACAAGTTATTATAAAGCTATTTATATCAATATACACATATATATAGATAAATTTATTAATGCTTACTGTATTAAAAAGGATACAATCTTAGTTTGATAGGGACTTAGTTTGAAGGGGAAAATGAGATAATATGACAACGTTCATATGGAAAACATGAGAAAATTCTCTATTAAATTTTAAATTTTAAAAGCATACAAAACATTACAGCACAGCTTCACTTTTGTCAGATTTGCAGTAAAAATGTGCACAATCTATCAATGCTGTAGGCTTTGGTAAACACCACCCACCCTCAGTTGCCAGTAACAGGCGTTCTAAACCTCACAGAGTTTGGAAGCTGCAAGAACCTGCTGAAAAACTGTGTTGACCACATGATCACTAATACCAGTGGTATTAAAAAATAGAATTTTTACCTTTTATGTTTGTTTCAGCTTTGATTTGACACAGATGGAGAGAATCTAATGAGAATATTAGCCTTTGATACAGGAACTTAAAAAATGTTTTTAACCTGTAGTAGTACTATGTCCCTATTTTCTCACAGAAATTTTATTACCTTTTGATTTCCATATTCTGATCTAAGGTACTTTCTTTCATTTAGGCACAGAATATGGCTATGCTATGAGAGGCAAATTTCACTTTAATATATTAGTTGACATTTTAGTTTATTTGGCTATGTTTAAAGACTTCAGGGATCTTTAAAAATCTTACCTAAATAAAGCGTATTCACTGAAAAAAGCCACACTATGCTTTTGATCTGCATTAAGAGTTTCCACAGATTTTGCTGGTGTTTCAGGCTTAGGGTGCTAAACTGGACTGTAACAGTAAATGCATCCCTTATTATTACTGCTTGACTACACAATGGACAAATATTATAATTCTTAAAAGTTTAAAGATAATTTTTTTAGACTAGCAGCTTCTCCTTCCCCCTACTTCCTTGCCCAATATCCATCTCTTGCTCACTTTTTTTTCCTTTATGATTTTTTACTTCTGATTCAGTCTTCAATTGCTTCAAGTAGGAATGGTAAAACTTGCGATATAGTATTTTAATTTATAGTAACATTAGTCACATTCTGCCTCGTTATTTGCTGGTCCAGCCTTTACACTGCTTAGAAGAAGAATGAGTGGAAAGGTTTTCGGCAACACCCTATGAACACATACAGACCTTTCTATAACTAGGGCCCATTAATTTTTCTTGGTTTGTTTCCTTCAATTTTAATGGATGAATTTTAGCTTCTCATGATTCCCAGACAATTAACATTGAGACACTAATCATTTTGTGTTCCATCATTTCCCAGGTATGTAATTAAAGTTAAAATGTATCTTTTAAGAAATGTATTGTAAATTACTTTTGACAGTCTGCTGGGGACACCTAGATAATATTTCTCATATACATATTTGTGTAGAGAGCAAATAACTGAATCATAGAATCGTAGAATGGTTAGACTTGGAAGGGACCTTAAAGACCATCAGGTTCCAAACCCCTGCGTTGACATCTATGCTCACAATATAGTTATTTATGCATACTTAATAAAGTCTGAAGGAGGGTAACTTGATTTTAGGGTCTCTTTCTTCAATTGTGAAAGGATTTAGGAGGTCAAGTAAGTCCCTTGAGTATCATTTATACTTTTAATAGGACACGTGACCAATTTTCCATTGATTCCACTTGGCTTTTCTGCCCCACAAACATTATACCTCAGTAATAAATCTCAGGCCCAGGCTCTGCTGTCTAGTTTGCCACCAAGGAAGGCCCAGAATGCAGCAAAAATACCACTTTTCTGTTATATAAATTGTTTGGAGAATATTAATCAAAGAACTGTCACAAAGAAATCTACTCCCCTACAGTGAGAGAAAACCTACAGCAGCCTTTTCCTTTGGACTGTATCGACGGGGCTGGAGATGCAACTGAAGATTGACAAGATTTGAGCAAGAGGTTCATAATGCCGTATCCTCTGCATATTGCAGTGGTTCTCACCAGGTTGGTCAAACACTGTTGGACTGGTCGAAGTTTTCACTTCCTTCCCATATGCTTGTTGGTGGCTGTTTGCAAATGCAGGTTTGTAATATAACATTTGGGCTCTGAAATATATATGCTTTTCTTAAAAAAACCCAAACAAACAAAAAAACCAAAAAACCCCACAAACCCATGTATTTTATTGCCATGACTGCACCTACAACCAGCTATGTTAATTAGGATCAAAAATTTTCCACATGCTTAGACATGGTCCCCATTTGCTCTAATAACAGCATCATTCAGCTTCTTAATAAGTAAGCATCATAGTTAGGATATGTCA